TTAAAGAAAAACGTCTAACTCACAATTTTTTTTAAAAAAAAAATCAATTATTTCATTAACATTTATTATTTTTGCGATACAAATTTCTCAATATAATTTTCATCATTTTATTAGGAAATTTTATATGGAATATGACATCAAAAAATTTTGAAATTTTACATCCGAAAAAGTCATATCTCATGTAAATTTTCTGATGCAAAATTACATGGGGCATGATTTTTTTAGACGTAAATTTTCGATTATAAAATTTCTCCAAACTTCTTTTCAACTTCGAATGTGGCCCCCTAACTTTAAACTTCTGCTTCCGCCTCTAGAGGTAGCCCAAGCTAACACCCTGAGTTCCAACCTAGGATTGGGTAAATAATGAGTGGAAATTATTTTTTAAATTCCAACTTCAAAAATTAAGTTTAGAATTTATCTATAATATATCAATTATCACATCAAGTGAAAATTATTTTTTAGACAATTATAGTCCTACTATAATTCAATTATTTCAATAATACATTACTTTTCGTTTTTCAATATGTATTTAATATGGAAACTATAATAAATACTTTAAAATCTTTGTTCATGCACGTATTTTGTTTTATTAATTCTCAATTTAACATTCACATTTATTTAATTAATATTAATTATAATTTCCCGTTCATGTCCCTATTTTTAATTTTCAATTAATGAATATTCACATTCATTTAATTAATATTAATTAGAATTTCACACCGAAGAATACATTTTATTATTAACGTTCATGTTAATTAGCATCTAGTTTCACTTAATTGGAAATTAAATTATATTCATTTAGTATAAATGATTTCACATTTATTGTCATGTATATATTTCTTGATATTAATTCTAAATTAATTCACATTCACGTTAATTCATGTATCGTATTTATCATTCATCTTCATTTATGCATTTAGACTTTAGTTATAATTCTAATACTCGTATTCAAGTATGAATTTCACGATTTACATGCATGTATAATAATTAACATTTATTTTAAAGAGCTTGCATTTATCTCATATTTATTTCAAAAGGGTAAATAGAGAGTTAAATATTACTTTCACAACACTTATAAATCATTTTCAAAATAACTGCAAGTCACGTTTAACTCTGACTAGTTTATACAAAAATCATGTGAAAATTAAATATTTTAATATTAATAATAAAATTATAAATTAATTTATAGGGTGTGTTTGATGGATATTATTTTGGAAGAATGTATTTTGGAATAGTAGATTGATGGAGAATGTGTGGTTGAAAAAGAAGGAAAAGTTATTGATGTGATATAAAATATTATTTTATTGCAGAATGTATGGTTGAAAATGAGTAGAAGAATTAAAATGAAAATTTTAATGTGTGTCAAACAGGGACATATGCTCATACCCTATTCCATCGAAACCCTAAATCATTTTATCTCTCTCCTTCCACTCCTTTCCCTTATCTCTTCCTCCTTTACCCCCTTCCTCACACATGGACCACCGCAGTCGTGTAACGGCGCTCTTCGTGTGAAGCCACTTTGCACGCTTCTTTCCCGTCTCTCTTCGTCGCACGCCACGTCGTCGTCACTCTCCCATATCTCTTTTCGCTGTGCTCTGCAGAGAAGCCAAGTATCAAGAAGTCACGCCGCTATGCGGCGCTGATCTGAGCACCACATCGGCGTTTACAGCACTGCAACAATGCTTTGAGATTGCGAGTTTCTGTTGCTCAACCAATGTTTGTGTTTGTGTTTCTATTTCTACTTGTAAGTTTTAGATTTTAAAGTAGTGGTGGCAGTGAGGTGGTGCATGTGCTTTGGTTTATAATTCTGTTTCTGTTTATGAGTTTCAGATTGTGAGGCGACGGTGGCGATGAGGTGGTGTAACGATGGTGGTGAGGTTGCTAGATATTTGATTGGTATCAGTGGGATGGAGGTGGGATGAAAGTGTTTGTGACCATCCATTTGGCCGTTTGTGACTAACTATTTGAGATGAGTGGGGTTGGGTAGGGATGGGATGTGACCAACTATAGATTTTGCTACTTGTACATAAAAATGTATATAATAGATTATATAATATGAGGTAAAGTGAAAAGATTGGATGAAAAAGTTGACTGTGTTTTGAACTAGCAAATGGTAAGAGTACATGTGACTTTATGCAATCCATTGTGTAAAACTTGATGTAAATGTAGCAAGATTCGACCAACTATTTTGGTGTTTGCGAATAACTATTTGGTCTATTTATGACCAATAAATAATATGTGACCGATAAAATAAATAACTTGTGATCAATAAATAATATGTGACCTAAAAAATGTGATATTGTAACTAAATTTGTAATCGCGACTCAAATTTTTTTAAGTTGTGATCAATTAATTAGATAAATTGTTACTGTAAAATAAATTGTAACTTGTAAAATTTGTAATATGTGATCAATTAATTTGATAATTTGTGAATGTAAAATAAGTTGAAACCTCTAAAATAAATAACTTGTGATCAATAAATAATATGTGTCCTAAAAAATGTGATATTGTAACTAAATTTGTAATCGTGATTCAAATTTTTTTTAAAGTAATACAAGTTGTGACTTGTAAAATTTGTAATACGTGATCGAGAAATAATATGTGATCAATTAATTTGATAATTTGTGATTGTAAAATATGTTTTGACCTCCAAAATTTGTAATCCGTGTTCGAAAAATAACACATGGTTAATTAATTTGATAATTTGTTATTGGAAAATAAGTCGTGACCTGTAAAATTTGTAACATGTAACCGATTAATTTGATAATTTGTGACTCTAAAATAAAATTTGACTTGTAAAATTTGTAATATGTGATCGAAAAATAATACGTGACCGAGAAATTTGATAATTTGTGATCTATAAAAAAATTGTGACTTATAAAATTGTGATTTGTGATTGTGACGCACGTAATTGTGATTAATATATAACTATGACCATAAATTGTACAATATTGTGACTTTAATATATTTAATTAATAAAATCTAATTAAAACTTGATTTTTGAAATAATAAAACTAATTTCTTAAATTTGAAATTGTATTTTACAACCCCTTATATATGTAATGTTCCCAAATAATGATGTACATCGTCGGACCTATCTATGCTATTTTTTTAGAAAAAAATTAAACATTTATAAACTCTTCTCAAATGAAGGCTTAATTTAAAAAACAATAAAGCCACTCATCTTCTCTACCTCCAACAAGGACTGAATAACGAAATCGTTAAACCATAAAACCAAATCAAAACTGCTTTCTCGAAACAGTTAGTTTGTGTCAACGTGGATCTCTCAACGTTTTGATTTTGAATCAAACCAAACCGCATCGAAGGGTTTAGTTTAGGTTTCAATCTTTGAAAACCGTTTCAAAAAAAAAAATTGAAAATAAATTAATTTAAATTTTATCTAACTCAATTGAAATTGAACACATCCCAATTAAAAAGTTGCATTCATATTAGATATAACCCAATTAAATTCAATACCTAAATAGACCATTATCCATCCTAATTAATTAATTAATTAAATCATACCCAAATACCCTTCATTCATGTGAATACAAAACCTTCAAATTGAGTTAAGTGTTGAACAATTGTTGTTGAACCATACTCATCGACCTCCTTGTTACAATTGAGCGACAATTAAATATGTATTTTAATTCAAACTCACATGTTTCTTTTCTTTCTACTAATATTTTTCTGGAATTTTGATTAAGTTTTCAGGTCAAATTATCCAATTTTTCTTATTTTATTGTTAGTTGTGTTGTTTTGAAGTATTTTGTACCGACTCCCTTAAATTTTGCTTCTCAATTTTCCAGTTAGGCCACTCAATTAATTATTTACATTTTAACATATTTTCTAAAGCTTGCCGTTAATTGCTAGACTGATTTAGTGGATTACTTAAATGCATATTTTGAAGTTTGATCTATGAGCCTTTCGACACATTACTTTTATAAAATTCAATGTAAATAAATACAAGATTGTGTCCCCAAATTACAAAAAATGTGTTAGCTATTCAAATATTCACAATTATTTCTGAGATTGCATTCCCTATTAGTAGTCGAATTCTTGATTCTTTTAAGAGTTTGTTGAGTTCAAATATGGTTGAGGTGGTTATTTGCCTTAAGATTTGGTTGCATAGTAACATAGAACCAATAGTGATTCGTCAATTTTTAGATGAGGTAGAAGGAGCTAAATGCTCCATTTCATGAGGCACCAGACAAGGTTGCAGCCACATCTTGGTTGAAGTCCTGAAGTTCCCAGGAGGGAGTTGCTGCTTAGGTGGAGTTCACATTTTCTTTGATAATTCAAAATTTTGTCCCGGCTTCAATTTTTATGCTCAAATCCCAGTTCGGTTGCTAATTTTGTAGCCAGATCCGTCGATAACCCTTCATTATTATGTTGTCGAGTTGGGAGAAAATGAGAGACCATGAAAAAAAAAGACTGAAAAAGAATGTCACAATGCCTGATTCACAATCAGGTGAGAACAAATATGATAGCAGGGAATTCAAATTTTTGACATACCACGTGCATTTGGTGCAAGGTTCAATGAAAATTGAATTATCCATTGACCTTTAAAGATTTTAACTATATATGTGTAAAGTCAACCTCGAAGTGTGCATAACTCGGTTCTCTTGTAGCATGATATACTAAAATATTCTTTCTATGAACATATTTTGTACGCTATGGAGAATGTCAAATATTAAACAAACTGTCAGGTGGTCTGCACGTTTGTTTTCTGAGAGGTGAAGTTGGTGTAAGCAAAAGTGTAGTTTTCCTAAATTCCACATCCATGCAAAATGGGAAACTTCGTAGCATCTCAGATGAAACTGAGAGAAAATGGAGAAAAGGAACTCGAGGCCACGACAATGGTCGACAAGAGAAGGCAGGACATTTTTGGCTTTGCAAGGCGCTTTTTTCTGTGCATGAAAAGGTAGAGTTGCCGCAGTTGACACACTATGTTGCCGCCCTCTAACACCACCAAAAGTGACGAAGGGAGGCCGGAGAGTAAGAATTGTGGTGACTAAGTGTTGTGTTTTTTATTTCGTAAGTGTACGATATCGTAACAAGCAGTATAATGGACATTAGAGTCCGGATATCGTTCTCACGAAGACTATTCTTTAGGACTTAATTTAATTTTTTTTAACTCATATTTGATAAAAGCAAGTAAGTAATTATGATGATTATGATTATTTTTCCTAATTATTTTTAACTAATTGAAAATATAAAAAGATTGCAAATAACGGATAATTGAAGATTCAAATATGTGATGAATATTAGGACATAACAATTTCATCTATTGATCACCTTAATTCTTAATTCAAGATTCACAACTTAATATAGTGTTCGATTGAATTTTTCCATTGTATTCAATTTACCCCTCTTGAGTTCTCATTGAACATATTTAACTAATTAAATTTCATATCTCTATACGAATCAATTTTAGTTAAACAAACATTAGTTCTAAGAATTCATATTATAATTGCAATAATTAGTATAAATATCTCTACACGTTATACTAATTTACCGGATTTTACTATATGGTCTAAACATCAAACTCACCTCTCGATTCGTAAAAGATTTACATAATCATCAAATTATTGATAAGGTAATTTAATGTATTAAACTCATAATAAAACCAACACATAAATAAATAAATCACATAAATTCTGAATAGAAATATAAATGACTACAAGTCGACTACATTATTTTTCCTAATATAAAAATTAGTTATTCATACCGTAAAAATAAGAACGCGCAAAAGTGGAACGATATCATCAAAAATTGACAAAACGTAAAATTTTTGGTATCTGTAGTCTCCTTTCCCTCTTCTTTCTTTTTTTCTCTTTTCTTCTTCTTCTTTTCACTCTCCTTTCTCTTCTTTCTTTCTCAGCGTATGACTTTTCCCCTTTTTTTTTCTTCTTTCTTTTTTTCTTTTTTTCTTCTTTCTTTCTTTCTTTCTTTCCTTCGTGCATTTTTATGTCTTCTCTCCGCCGCTTTTTAGTCTGTTATTGTTCCCCTTTTTTTCCCTTTTTCGTGCGTGAAATGTATATATATATATATATTATAATTCATAGCTCTTTTTATTCTTCTCAACCAAGAAATCCAAGCTCATGAAATTACAAATTGAGGCCCAATTGATTCCAATGCCCAATTAAATTAATGATTGCTTTCAATTCTTTCATTTAATAGAAGTTAGTCATTGAAACAAATTTATTTTTGCAGTCCCTGTCAATTTAGTCCCCGTAATCTGGATTTTGTCATTTTTTTCGCTATTTTGCATTCTTTTTTCCAATTTTTCATCAAATATAAAGTTTTATCTATAAAATACAATACAACATAAATTAGGTAGAATTTTATTCAAAAAATAATAAAATATCATGATTTATAGCATCGAATAAGTTTAGAAATAAGATGCAGCTGGAGCTGCTGATCATTAGTCCAAAAAATCTCAAACCGAGGCAAATTGCATTTCAATCCTTTCGTGCTAGAGGTGTAAGAAATGGCAGGCATCTTTAGCTACCATTCAAGAGTTGTAGAATTGTTTGAACAGCATGGTAGGTTTTTTCTTTCAGTTTTATTTTCGATTTGCGCCTCGATGTTCCGTGGAACTGTACATGTGAACAAACAGGAAAGAGCATCCACTTTGGGATGAATTTAGAAATGTTCATTTCTGCTATAATATGTCCTACCACATATTTTTTTGGGCAGAAAATCTGAACTTAAGACCTTCCGCAGCCGCCCGGCACAAGACTTCACCTCTGAAAACGGTGTCCCCAGTGCCCGAGGCTGGGTTCGTGGAAAATTAGTGCTATTAGTCCCGGGGTTTTATTGTACCCTGCGAAGAATTTTATGAAAAAGGGAGAAAAGGGTTTTCACTAAGGCCCCGTTTGATTGGCGAAATTTTCTAGGGAACTAGGAAATTTTTTTCCGATTTCCATCTTTTGCGCTGTTTGACAGTCTAAATTTTTAACGAAAAATATTTTCCCACCCCACCCGCCACATCAACATTTTCCGTGAATATTTTCCAGCCGACTGCTCAATTTTTTTTATTTTTTTTGTAATGGAAACAAATGCCATGACCAATTATAAAAAAAAAATTCACTTTAATGGACAATTTCCATGTAAAACAAAATCAAACGAACACTAAGCCCCTGTTTGCGCCCCTTTTTTTTCTTTACATTACATTTTCACACTTTTCAACACAACAATCTGCCAACAATTTTTCAAATCCATGTCAGAGCTGAGAGACAATTATTACCGTTGCCAGCAGATGGACGAAAATGCCCTCTATCACATCATGTGCTGGCATTGTCCCATTCAACCTTCTCAAAAAGTAGG